GAGAGGGATTCATTCCTGAATGAGAAGCTTCCAGCTTCAGAGGAGTTCTGCAGTATTGATCGGCCCACTCTCGCACAACGGAATACACGCGGCACATCTCTGCTTCCTCCGAAGGCACCTTCACACCGACACTATGTAGTATCGTGCCTTTTCCTCCTACATTCTCACTCTCTCTCTCTCTCTCTCTCTCTCTTTCTCTTTCTCTTTCTATCTCTATCTATCTCTATCTTTCTTTCTACGTTCTCCTCCAGCAACCCCTAGGAGCGTCCAGGGGCAACTTCCAACACGACCAACCCCCGCCGGCAAACAAGCTACCTTCCTCGTTCTCTCATCTCGTCAGTGTCAAGGTCAGGTCAGACTACCTCGAGAATCAAGGAAAGGGAAACACGCTTGATTGCTCTCTTACCACCCTTTTGCATTTTTTTTTCTTCTTCTTCTTTTTCTTCTTCTTCTTCTTTCTCTTTATAGAAGTGATTCCCTTATTTCGTTATTATTTGGATCGTAGTAAACTTCGATTTTATCTTCGTGAATTTTCTTCTTTTCTTCTTTTCTTCTTTTCTTCTTCTTTTTTTTTCCTATACTGGATATTTATACGTCAATATGCCCATCCATCATCCCTCCACTCCAAAAATATCCACTGCGTCTCTTGATCCGTCCGTTTTGTTTGTTCCGTGCAGCTTCTTTTTTTTTTTTTTGGGTTCCTTTTTATCTTTCTTTGACCTTTTTTTCTCGTTTTACGAGAATAAAACTAGTATGTGCGAGATCTACTAGCACAAGGAGAAAAAAAAAAGAAGAAAGAGAAAGAATATGTATTACGTGGAGGAAGGCCAATGATAGTTGCAAAAAATATTTTTTTTTAACGTAGATTCATAAAAATAAACGAACAAACAAATAAACAAAAAATAAATATAAAAGAGAAAATTTATGAAATTCTATTAGAATCAAAATAAATTTTTATTCGTTGTCTTTCTCGGTATCGTTAATACGAAGTAATCAAATTTTTCTGTTTTTATTAGCGAAAAGGTCAATGAGAGCTCTCGTCTTCATCGGACTTTAGGTTTTATCGATAAGAAAGTAAATTCAATAATGATTATGTTATAGAAGAATATATTTTCTGACAGCGTAACATTAATTCGCTTAACATATGGTATAAAAAGTATCGCATAAATCAAGGGACCTGTGTTCCCTAGTATTAGATTGACCTTTAACTTCGTATACAATGGGGTTTGATCGATATGTAACGTTTTGTAGCTAAGTAAAAAAAGACATCATGTTTTTATTGATGTCCTTTATTGAAAATTTAATAGAAAATTATGATATTAATTTATACGTAATTTATACTTACATACGTAATATATTATACAGAGATTTATTTACATAGATCAATTTATATTAATTGACTAGTTATTACGATCCAGGTTTCGCATGATTTAAAGAAGTAAATTTAATCGATCGGATTTGAAAAATATATACATATATATACATCGGGATAAACTTCATCAATGACTCTTAAGATTATAGTTCTTCATCAAGATAATATTCAACAAGATATACCTCTTTGCGAACTCAGCAAAATTGAAAGGGACTCGATTGTGATTTTCTCATCTATCTTCTATATTTGTCTGACATTGTTATTTATTCAGGCTACTTGATAGAACCAACTATGAGTCTCTTGAAGATTATAAAATATACGTTGGTATAGTTTTTAAAAATAAAAGATGGATAGATAGTTCTCCGGGGAAGGATAAATCATTAACGGATAATTAAAAATTATTGATTAAAAATAATGCACATATTTTTTTGAATAAAATTATATTTAAATTATATAAAAATAATAATCGATTATTCTGATTTATATAAATAAATTTTATCATTAATCTGATCGAGATCTATCTATTTAGATTGATAATTTTAAAAAAGAAAAAGAAAAGAAAAATATAAAAAAGAGCCCTCATCTTTTTTGAAATTAAATAAAACAAAATTGATTTCATTCGAAAGATTTTAACAAATTTCCATATTTCTGTTTGGACCATAACCAGTTACATAACGTAACAAACCATTTCGATTTAAATGCCGAATAAATACGACACTTGTATATTTTGCGCATAAATATCGTAACTCATCAAAATATCGTAGTTATTCATGTATTTTTAATGAATGCTTTCAATGATAGGGGTTTTATGAAAAAAAAAAAAAAAAAAAAAAATAAAAAAAGAAAAAAATAAATGAATAAATAAATAAATAAATAAATAAATAAATAAATAAATAAATACATAAATAAAAATAGAGAAAGAAAACAGTTCAGGAGAAAATTGAACGAAAGGTTTTGTAACATATATATATATTTTTTTTTAGATAATATCGATCAAAATCTATTATTTAATAATTGAATAAAAATCTTATTAAGAACACGTTATAATAATCTTGTTATTATATTGATTAATACAGGGAGTTTTATTGTTAAATGAATATGATATATATATATATATATATATATATATATATGTATATATATATATACGCAGAGACAGAGAGAAAGAGAGAGAAAGAAAGATGAATTAACGTGTTGCTTATAAATTAACCACGGAGTTTGATCATTCGATCTGCATAGGATCAGAGAGCTGTAATCGATGTCTGTGAAATGAAAATATTTTACTCATAACTTGAAAGTTTAATAGTATCGTAAAGGATAGAGAACCCCCCTCTCCCTCGCCCCTTGAAAATTATTTTGCGCCATTTAATGGGAATCTTTTTAAAAGCATGATAACGTTAGATACGTTATGTCTTCGTTTAAATGGAGAATCGAGTTTCCATGAGTATTTCTTTCCCTTTTATCTACCTTACCACCAGCCCTATGATGCGATCGAGCGTATAATCGTTTCCCGTCGCGTCGCTGACTCCATAAATCTTTTAAAAGCAAAGCTTATCGATCCAGGCGGGGACCGGCTTGACAAAATGGCCACTCGCTTGCACGGATGTTCGCCACGCTTTAATGCAACCCATCGTTTAAAACTTTTTAAACGTGACGACTTAGGTTATTTTTTAACTATCGCGATATAAATTCTTTTCGATGAACGTATAAAGGAAAGAAAAAAAAAACAAAAGAAAAGAAAAAAGAAAACAATAATCAAACAAATAAATTATATTGATATCTTTCGATAGAAAAAAAGAAATCAAATAAGAGTAGTGATATTTATATCGTTTCATTTTATATATAATTGATAATTTTATAGTTTTAAAATGTCTACAATACGATTATGATTTAAAATAATTAGAACGATCGGAGAATAATTTAGAATGAGCTAAAGAAATAGTTAACGATGAAAATGTCTATGAAGTTTTATCGATCACTTGAAGATTTTTATTTCCAACATTAATACAAGTGTTTTTCATCTGTTCAAAGGACGTACGAAGATTTCGTTTCCCAAATAATATTTTTAAATGAGTAAAAATATTACGTTTTGTAGAATCGTCGAATTTGGACTTTATCTTTCACGATTAACTCTTTCGTTTTTCCAAGAAAGTAAAAACTTTACGTAACATTTGGATTTTTATATTTGTTCAATGATTATATAAAGGATCTTCTAAATGTTGCCTTTAAAAGAAAAATTTATCTTTTCTTTTATAACGATAAGACATTTATTACATAGAATGACATATCATTTGTATAGAAATCCTATCGCTCCTTATCCCTCAGGAATATTTGGTCCTGACTAATTTATGAGAATCTCGATCGATAGTGAAGGTATCTTTGAAATTTAGGTCGTATAACCGACATTGAGAGCCGCGTAGGCGTCTTCCTCCTCTCCCCTTCATCCATCCCTGTAATATCACTTTAAGGGTGCTCTCGTCGATAATTCCTTTAAACGTAACTAAAGATTTTAGAAAGGATAGGATAGTGATAAAATAATCGATTTATATTCGCGAAAGGAACGTATCGATAAACGATTTTAGTTTCGTGAAATTAATCGACTTGTGTGTGGCGTAGAAAGAAAAAGAGTGTAAGAGAAGAAAAAAACAAAAAAAAAAAAAAGAAAAAGAAAAAAGAAGGAACTGAAAAACAAAAATATATTTTATTTGATAGCATAATAAATATGATATAATAAAATTTAAATAATATTCGTAAGTAAGTAAATAAATTGATAATTCGTATTTATTGGTATACATTTGTTTTTAATTTATACACCTTACTTCTAACTGTATAATTACTTGTAAGTATTTGAAAAAAATTAAGAAAAAATTGCTTTAAAATAATGAGAGGTAGTTTTATATAAAAATTTAAACGTGACTTTCGAAGAGCTCTCCAAGGTTATCGCGAAGTCAAATAATCATCACTGCGATGCCGTTCCCCTTTGATATCATAAAACATTCCGTCTGAGAACATTTCTCTCTTTTTTTTTTTTTTTTTTGTGCGCGCGTTTAATATTTAAATATATCGCGTGTATACATATATAAACCGAGCTTACTGTATATGTTTGATAAAAATCTTAAGTAGGTAATTTTCTTTCGGAGAAGTAAAGAAGAGAAAAAAGAAAGAGAAAAAAAGAAAATGAAAAACAAAACATCCCATAGTTTTGTCCTCACAATTTTTTTTTCCCATACGAATTATCATTATATTCGCTATTATAAAATTACCGCACAACATTTTACTCGTTATATTTTCATAATGTTAATGACTACCATTACTACATCTTTATTACAACATAATGAAATTATGAACAACAAAAAAGATATCTTGAGGTTAAAAAAAAAAAAAAAATAAAAATAAAAAAAAGGAACAAAAACCAAGGAGGGGGGAGGAGGAAAATCTTTTATAAAATTTCAAATGAATGAATTCGGTCGTTTCGTTAAATTTTCATTGAAACTCTTTTTCTTCTTCTTCTTTATTTTTTTTCCTTTTTTGATTTCTTTGGGGTTTCTTTCTTTCTTTTTTTTTTTTTTTTTTTTTTTTTTTTCTTATTAAAACTAGTAAATCAATTTAGATTCGTTTAATTTTCCAGGTCTGACCGTTCGGAGGTGGTGTAAGGAATGGCCAGCAGTACGGAGGACTACGGCTCGGAATTGCAGGAGTTGCAGTGGGGTGGTGGTAGCGGTTCTCATTTTCTACGAAGTAATTCTCACTTTCTGAGAAGCGGTACCGGAGGTTGTTACGAAGCTGAGGATCTTGAACCAAATAGCAGGCACCATGCCGGTCAACACAGAGGATATTATAGCCCGCCTGGCACCAGTTATACCATTGTCGAAAGACCACCCAGTGCTCCTCATCATCACTCTTCTCATACGACACCTTATAGGCATCGAACTCATGCGACTTCCGGTACTGGTGCTATTTCACCGGAACAAGTACTCAGGTACGATTATATTTAAAATAATTTCTATAACGTTGTTTTCTTTCTTTTTTCTAATTTTTCATTTCAAACGATATCCATAGGACAGAGTGATAATTTGAATTTATATTGCGGGAGCGGACCGGAGGGTGGGTGGGATTGGGGGGACTAGATTGGGAAGAGAAAAAAAAAAGAATCAATTCGCATTGTCCTTGTTCGAGTATTTGAAACATATTGCATATTGGTAAAAGGTAATGTTCTCTTGACGTATCATTTCTTGTTGACATTTTTCTATATTTTTTTTTTTTTCTGGAGATCAGGCCGACCTTAATCTCCTAGTATGATAAGATAATTACCTGTTACGATTTATTTCGATTTAACTGAGAAGATAACGTGGTAGAATCGTATAAAGGAGGTTAAGCGATGCGATTCTCGTTTTAGGAATCACAAAGGAATATTTCATAGTAACGAGCATACACGTACATAGGTGTAGTAGATATGTATTTGAAGTGGTAGCTCTGGCAGTAGAGAGCTCGTTTCCTTTGAAGTCACACGCATGCACACACAAGTTTATAAAGTGAAAAATTTCTGTTTATTTCTTTTTTCTTTTTTTTTTTCCTCCCATTTTCGATTTTACTCCCATTTCGATATCTCACCCCGTTTACAAATATTTTTCAATGGCTTTTGAGGAGGATTTTATTTCTGTTAAATTAATACCATAAAAGAGAAACAAAATATTTCCATTTCCAAATTAATCCCGAGCAATTACGTTTAACGAAATATCAGGTTGTTCGGTAATGGTGTACCGGCGGAAAGACGTCAAGGTGAACGAAGGACACCTGCCTCGAGTCCAGCCAGCGTGGCCGCCGTGAGAAGTACGAGTTCTTCTCAACAGGGTCAACAACAGTCTCAACAACAATCTCAACAACAACAACAACAACAGCAGCAACAACAGCAACAACAGCAACAGCAGCAACAACAGCAACAGCAACAGCAGCAACAGCAACAACAACAGCAACAGCAAGGGCAACAGGTTGTGGGCTCAAATCCGCCAACTTCGCCAGGTTCGCAGCCTTTGAGCCTTCAGGAGCTCACCGTAAGGACAATAACCATGACGAGAGATCCACCGGACTCTCATCATGGATTTGGAATCTGCGTGAAGGGTGGCAAGGACGCAGGTGAGATCCGAAGTACCTTCAAGCTACCCCCGTCGCCGTACTTCGTGCCTCGAGAACGAGGTACTTCCGCAAACGTTTACTCTCTTCTTCTCTTTAGGTTCTTCTTATTCTTATTATTATTCGTTGTCTGCCGTCATTCTCAGCCATTGACACCGCTACCATTATTATTCCTTCATCCACTTACTTATATCCATTTTACCATTGACCATCCTCCCCTTTCATTCTCTATTCTCTAATACTCTATCACTCTCCGTTTCTGTTTCGTTATTCTCCACTCTCTTTGTCTCTCATTATCTCTTTTATAGAACTTAAAGAAACAAATCTTTTATTTTTGTTTTTCATTCCAAACTTGTTTTTCTCTGTTTCTTTTCGGATTTTTTTTTTTTTTTTTTTTTTTTTTTTTAACATCATTACTTCGTTCCGTTCCATTCTCGAATTCTCCACTCTCTTGTTCTCATATAACTTTCAGTTCTTTTTCTTTTATTTTCTTTTCTTCTTCTTCTTCTTCTTCTTTTTCTTTTTTTCCCCTCTTTTCTTTATCTTCTCGTTGATAACGTCGGACGTAGCGTAAAAGCTTTTCTTTTGTACGTTAAAGCGAGTAGCAATTTATGAAAATACTTTTTTAATTTTCTTCCTTTATTTCGAACTCGCGTACGTTTAGTTTTAACCTCTTTTACGAGGAACGGATCAACAGTCGGATTTTCGTTTTCCTTTTCGTTCTTTCCTTTTCTATTTTCTTTTCATTTTCTCTTCTCTTGTTTTTCTCATCTCTTGCCTCGTCCCTTCTTATATTTTACTATTTCACGATATTTTTTTTTTCTTTTTTTTTTTAAGTTTGTCGAGAGCAAAGAGAGTACGAGCGCGAGTCGTCGAAATCTAAGAAGAAGTGGGAGAAGGTTGAAAAGAGTTAACATTTTCCGATCATTAAGCGTTTCTATTTGGCCGATGACGAACAACTTTTGCAAAAGAGAGAGAGAGAGAGAGAGAGAGAGAGAGAGACAGAAGGAGAGAAAGAGAGGGTGAAAGAGAAAGAGAGAGAAAGAGAGAGGGAGAGAGGGAGAGAAAACGAGAGAACGAATGAGTAAGAAGAACTTGGCGAGTAAGATGTGCGATTGAAACACTGAATCATTTGCTTCTCCTTCTTTCCTCTTCTTATTTCCCGTTTTTCCTTTCTTTTTTCCTTTTCCTTCTTTTCTTTTTCTTTTTCTTTTCTTCCTTCTTTCTTACCTTTCAATTGGCATTGAAGATTGCAAGAAACGGAGAAACTTTTATACCCGGGATCTTTTCTCTCTTCAAAGAAAAAGAAAAGAGCAAAAAGAAGAAGAACAAAAAAAAAAAAGAAAAAGAAAAGAAAAGAAAAGGAAAAAAAAAAAAAAGAAAAGAAAAGAAAAGAAGGAAAACAAATATGTCTTGGTGAGCTGTTAAATCGGAGAACTTTTTTCGACGAGTTGAACAACATTTTTAGATACTTCAAATAGGTAAAGAGAAAAGTTGGAAAAGAAAAAAAAGAAAAAAAAAAGAAAAAAAAAAAACAAGAAAAAAGAAAGGAAAGAAAAGTTGTTCCAATTCGATCGAAAGATCACATTTTCGGTGTTTTGATTATATGATAGAAAGTTTACCTCGTACATGTCACTTAACTCGTGCAATCAACGATGCCGATTAATTAGTCCACGTTTCGATTGGTTTTGCCTATCGTGAAAGTCATTAGTCGGTGCTTTTCCACATTGACGATTTTAACGACGTGCTTCTGAACCATTCGACGAAGCTTTACCGAGCTTTCCTACGTACCACGGATATGTCCTAACGTGTTCATTATCTATTTTATAAGAAAATATGATCGTACGATCAATATGTCTGACATTATTTTTATATTTAATTATTCAACGTTATAAGATTTAAGATATTATTCGATATATCAATGTTTTTTTTATATAAAAAAAAAATGTTGATTTCTTTCTTTTTTTTTTTGTTTTTTTGTTTTCTTTTTTTTTTTTATAATATATAACTCGTATTAATTTCGATAGGAGAAAATTTTCTGACGGGCTAACGAAAGAGATTATGAATTGGAAGGAAGACATTTGTGCAATATTAAAAGTGCAATGTTAGATTTCGCACGTAATTTTCAACGATAACGTAAATACGTCGCGAAATATTCTTTTCCTTTACTGTTTTTTTTTCTTTTTTTTTCTTTTTTTTGAAAATCACGATCTATATCATTCTTACGAAAAATTTTCAATTCGAATTGCAATTTATTTGATCAACCACCACGATCATCTGAAACTATGGAAACTATGGTTAAAATTCGCAGTTATGTTATATTGTATGCTATGGTGTATAACTCACGAAATTCTTCGGAGTTTTAAACGATATAAATATTCACTTGTATTATACTTCGATTAAATTTTGAAAATGGAAACGAAATATTACAAACTCTGTTTAAATTATATTTCACGCAAGTTATACTGTATTTATACTTTATATACCGTACTATTACAATATTAGATAAAAGAGAGGATAAAAAAAAAAAAATGAAATGAAATCGATATGCAGTATTACGAGAGAATCGTGAATAAAGGACAAAACGATTTAGAATATATTTTATCGTGGTTATCCTGTTTTATTTTATTTTTTTTTTTCTTTTTTTTTTTTTTATTTATAGAAAAATTTCTATTTCTATTTTAAACGCCCGATTTATTCGAGAGAATTGTCGTCGAGTTTAGCGATGCCTATGATATTCATGCTTTGTCTTGAAGGAAAAAAAAGGGGAAAAAAAGAAAAAGAAAAGAAAAAAAAGCAAAAAATAAATAAAAAAGAAACCAATCGAACGTGACGAAAACGATAAAGGAAAAAAAGAAGGAAAGGCAGAAGGAAAGGAATGAAAGGAAAAAAAGAAACAAAAAATATTCGTCGATAAGGATAAAACCATGTTACTAAGGTCTCTCAAGAAAGCTCAACGATTTGCGAGTCATCAAAGCGAAAAACTTTCGAAGGATCCACGTTTGAATACGGACCGGATACGCTTTCTTGAATTCGTTGAGTTTATAGATGTTGCTTGCAGAAAAGTCATCGCACTCGAGTTTGCCTTTTAACTTTTCAAGCTTTTATTCGACGTACACACGCGTGCACACGTTCGAAGACGAATGGGGGAAAGGCTTTTAAATTTTTATACAAATGGAAAGGCTTCCAATCTCTCCTTTATTTTATTTGTTTCTTTCTTTTCTCTTTTTTTTTTTTTTTTCTTTCATCATTTTCATCATTTCTCACGGTCCAATAGCGCCAACCGGAATCTCCAAAAGTTACTCTAATTCGTCCAAAATTTTCTCGTGGATCCTAAGGAATGACTGTTGTAAAAAAAAAAAAAAAAATAAAAAAAAAGAAAAAAAAGAGAGGATGGAAGTCGAGCAAGACGGAAAATCTATCATTTTCATGGAATATCAACTTGCGTGTTTTTCTTTCTTGCTTTCTGTTTCGCTGTACCAGATGTGCAATCAGGTAATTCATCGATTGTATGTGAGAGGAAGTATAGCGAAAATGTGTGTAAGAGAGAGAGAGAGAGAGAGAGAGAGAGAGAGAGAGAGAGAGAGAGAGAGAGAGAGAGAGAGGGAGAGAGAGTATAAGAACATAAACGTATCGTTATCAAACCACCGAAAAATTCGAACGAAATCACATTTTTCTTTTACGATGATGAAAGTTGATTTTTTTCTATTTTTTATTTTTCGCTCGAGTTTCTGTCAGTTTAATTGTCATTGAAAAATCCATCCATGTGAAAGAGAGAGAGAGAGAGAGAGAGAGAGAGAGAAAAGAGATAGAAAAAGATAGATAGATAGGCAGACAGATGGAGAGAAAGAGAGAGAGAGAGAGAGAGAGAGAGAGAGAGAGAGAGAGAGAGAGAGAGAGAGAAAGAACGAGAGACTCATTCACAGCGTAGTTTGAAGTATTCGAATACGAGGTCGTTTCAATTTCCCGGTGGTTTTCGAGTATTCGATATACACTCGCGTCAGTAACGATCGATGTCGCATGAAGGTGTTATGCGCAGATCGGCCGGGCTTGAAACTAGATGGCGACTGAAGAAGCGAGAGGAACGAAGAAGCTAGAGAAAATATAAGATGGGAGGAACGCGAAGTAAAACAAATTTTCCTTTTCTTTTATTTTTTCTTCTTGATGGCACTCGTTTATCCCGGAAAGATCGACCTTTACTCGTTTTATCCTATGAAATTGATTGATCGGTGGAGAGAATAAAAGGAATTTAGGAGGGTTAAAAAAAGCATTAAACATAAATCACTTTTCTTATCATTTTTTTTTTCTACTCGTCTATCTTATATGTCTGTCTGTCAATAATGATGACGAATACGACGAAAATTGTGATGACTTAATTTTACTTTCACATTTATGTATATATATATATATATATATGTATGTATTTTTTTTTTTGTATATATATATAGGTATATATATGTATATGTATGTATGTATTTGCATATTTTTACTGCTTACTTATCGCAGTCTATTTTTGATTTTGTAAACGCGTTCGAGTTTAGATTGTCAAGCATCGATAATCGAATAGCCATGGGACGGACGTGCGTCGAACGTACGATAATATCGAAGCGAAATTGAGTTGTAATGGAGTTCCCAGAGTTCCCGATGACAACACGTATCGTAAATGTCAATAAATTATGATACGCGTTACATCGTTTTCGATAAACTATTCTCTATTTCTATTTGTAGAAATGCAAAAACATTCCTCTTTATCGCTTTAATACACGTTCAAAGGAACTATTTTTATTTTTCTATAAGATTTTGTCCCTTTCTATACGTTCAAACGATCACGTAGATTAAATTTTATTTATGTCGGGGCTAATCGTTCGGGGAATAATTTTCATGGTTCATTCGATGAACTTAAACGAACTATGTATAATGGAAATTCGATTTTCCAATTATATTCAATGTGGGTGGAATTTTTTTCTTCTTTTTTCTTTCTTTCTTTCTTTTGTTTTTCTTTGTTTTTTTCTTTTTTTTTTCTTTTTTTCTTTCTTACGGAAAGAAAACTACGTTACTTACTCGATTTTTATTACTGTCGATCTTATTATCACGAACTTTTACTCCCTTTCGATTTGAACAAAATTTTATTCAGATTATTACGTATTTATTACGTATTGCCTCAGAATAGCATTATTAAATTGTCACATTTTTCTCTCTCTACTTTTTTAGTCGTCATCTTGTAACGTGAATTCGCCAAATCATCGAATAAAAAGAGATCTTTTCAAAACACGTAATCGAAGCATCGGCTTCTAAAGTCGGCACGTTTGTTGCGTATTTCATTGCATGACGATTATTTTAATTATCATGATTATGAATGTTATTAGAAACAATGGAATTAGCGATTAAAAGATTGTCAATGATATATATATATATATATAGTGATATGTCAGTGTACACGCGCACATAGAAACTCTTATTCATTCATTGAAAATCATTTGAAGGGAAACACGTATGTACTTTTAAAGACGTTTTATAAATTAAATTTAATTAACAATTATAATTGTAACGTTTCGTTGTCATTTCAATTTGCAAATTAATTAATTACATTTTTGTACAAATCAATTAATCAATGATCATGTTTCCATTGATGTTGTTCATCGATGTTTATGAATAAAAAATGATACAATTTATTTTTACGCGCGTCTAAGAAATAGTTCATCGTTAATTCGACGATGCACATTCATGAATTATTTTACATTCTACGCTCGTTTATATATATATAAACATTCATTAAGTAATTATTGGGTGATAAGGAATAATTATTAATTAATGAAAAAAATAAAAATTAAAGATTGAATTTTTAAAGCGACAATAAAATATTTCAATCGTAATATCGATTAAAGTGTAATATAAACGCTTATTTGACAAATTTATTACATCGGAGGTGGGATGGTGGGGTGGTGGGGAGGAGGGAGAGAAGGAACAAAAAGAAAAGTCACGTTCAATTTTAGTCCATACATTTTAAATTTGGGAATTTTACGAGCCTTTGAAATTATACATCTTTTTTAATATCGTTAGATTAATTTACGATATATGAGTAACCCTTTCGTTGTACGCCTAGCTCATTGATACGAATTAGAAAAATTAAATTATTTGATGGCGTTAGTCAATCCTTTGATGATTAGAGTAGAGTAGAGTAGAGAATTAGACGACTACGTTTCCTTACTCGAAACGAAGTTTTCTTCGTAGAGAAACTAACGACACCGGGAGTCAGAGTCTTTGCCATCGTCTTGATTTTTCTTTCGAGAAACTTTTTAACTTTAAGACTTTGGATCGCGTTCCTTAATGAAGATTTCTTTTTCTTTTTTTTTTTCTCTTTTCTTTTCTTTTCTTTTCTTTTTTCTACTTCTCCTCGAATCGACTCTTACCAAAGACTTATTTTGAAAGGTTTTCATTTTACGAGATAATTATAACTTTTTCATTTTCTTTCGAATGAATGTCATTTGCATCATTCTTTGTATAATAATGATTCACTACTAATTCAGATTTTATTATTACTTATTTAATTCACTTATTGCACTAACACGATGAAAGATCGACACTTTTGTTCTTTTTTTTTTTTTTTCATCGTATGTACGTATAAATATAATTGTTCTTACATTTCTCTGGTGCATGTCTGTGTTTAAGTGTATTTACAATGAATATATGTATGTAGTATGTATTGAAATCTACACACATATACACGCATATATATATATACACACATAAACACACACAAACACACACACATATATATATATATTTTGATATCAACAACAATGTTCATGCATTTGCATATTAAATCTTTCTTCGATTTCTATTTTCACGTTTTATACACATGATATCTTTCTACTCATGCCAAATGCAAGTGAACAACAAAAAAAAAAAAAAAAGAAAAGAAAAAAAAGAAAATGAAAAAAATAGAAATAAACGAAATAAACGAAATAACAAAAAGAAAAAAATAAAAAAAAAATAAATAAATATAGAGTAAATTGAATTGAACAAGTTGAATCGATAAAATGTCGTTTCTTTCAAATAAATGATAAAATGATATCGGAGATAAATATTATACGACATGGGTAGAAAATTTAAGCACGCACGGTTAGCGGAACAGTTGCTTGGCAACTTTTTAGCCTGATGGAAAGTCTGCGAATTGTTCTCAGGGGTGGGTGTCTACATCTCGAGAGTGGAAGAAGGTTCAGTGGCCGAGCGAGCTGGACTCAGGCCAGGGGACACCATTTTAGAGGTGAATGGCACACCCTTCCATGCGGTGACCCACGAGGAGGCTCTCAAAGTGAGTTCATTTTCTTGTTCAACGTTTACTTCATTAATCTCATATTTCTCTTCGTCTTAAAAATTATCATCATCATCATCATCATCATCATCATCATCATCATCATCATCATCATCATCATCATCATCATCATTAACATCATATTTATCATCATTGAATTTTTTTTCGAAATATTTTGCCTAAACATTTTCTAACTCATTTAAAAATATTTCGAACTTATATATATATATATATATATATATATATATATATATATATATATGTATACGTGTATCTATACATAAGAATGTATCATTGGAAAGCCTGAAAAATATTGTCCATTAGCCGACTCAGGTCGAGCTTGCAGTTTTCTACGTATGAAATATGATCGATGACCTTGCGGATAAAAAAATATATGTAGGTATAGCCAAGCTTGGAAGCACTGAAATGGTTTTAACTCTCTCGACGTCTCGTTATCGCGAATGATTTGTCCATCGTTCGTATATGCATTATGCAAGTTCATATGTTACAAGATAGCTTGTTATCTACATATGGAAAGTTACCTATCATTTAGTGTACTTTTCGGATTGGCACATTAATTATATGTCGAATCTTGTGTTATTCAACGTTACATTAACGATTATATATTATAGTTGTATAAATGAATTTTCTTGAATATATAAATTAAATAAATATTTCATCGTTTATTTATTTATTTAATATTGAAAATTTTATAAATTGATCATATAAGTTATTCGTAGTTACATCAAAATTCATCGATTCTTGTTCGATTAAGAACACGATCTAATTAAAAGTCGACTGTAAATTAACTCATACGCGAGAATTCATCGACCAGATATTTATGATCGACCTTAGAAAGTCTTATCGATCGATAAGTGTCATCGAATAAGATTCGTTTCGATCGAAAATATCGAGTAAAGCATAGATAATACTTATATAAGATAAAAAAAAATTATCTCGTCATTAATTCTTTCATTGATAATTTCTTAATCGACCCGATCGATTCTTCATTGACGTAGAATTATTATCGACTTGGGTATTATTTAGATAATAATTCATAATAATCATCTCGAACGAGTTAGATCGATCGATCGATCGATCGGAGTCGATGGGATAAATTGTATATTTCTCGTTGAAGAAAAACAAAAAAAAAAGAAAAAAAAAATAAAAGCTTAGTTAAAATTGATAATTGATTATTAAGATGAGGAAGAGTAGGTAAGGAAAAGATTAAATATTAAAGATAACGAGTCGTCCTTGGATGGGTGGATCAAATCGATAATAGATAAATAGATAGATGGATACCTATGTATCTATGTATATATGGAAAGAGGGTGAATAATATCTACTTAGGAAGATCGAAAGGGAGAGACGTATAGCTGATAGATCGAAAGAAACATACATAGCTCAGAGCCTATGCCCATTCGTCTAATCTCTCGCCTAACTGTAAAACGTTACGGTACAAGTATGCGATAGCTATCACTGTACCTTCCGATAACAACTCGTCATCATACTTTCCATAGTAGCTAGCTTAGTTTTTAGACAAAAGATTCTCGACAATGGCCCATCAGGATATCACTGGGACTACTATTCCCTTGATATAAAAAGAGCACGAGGCGTTAGCTTCGGATTTACCAAAAAGAGCTAACGGTGGGATACTTCTTGGATATGCGCTAAATCCTCCTAATGCTACTTCTAATCCTACGTTGTATTTCGCTACGTCGATCCTACCTCTTTGCCTGGCTACTATTCTTTTGTATTTTAAACCTTTTCTCTCTTTCTCTCTCTCTCTCTTCCTCCCTCTCCCCCCTCTCTCTCTCTATCATAATTATCATATCGACATGATAAACTTAGAAATTTTTTCTAAATTAGAAATTAATTGACTAATAGATTTTTTCTTTTTTTTTCTTAAGAGATCTATCATAAATAAGAAATTAATTAATTAAATTAGGAATTAATATCTTTTTTTTTTTTTTTGGAATTAGAAACAAATTTTTTTCTTTGCATCTTTGAATAAGAATTATCTTTTAACGCTTTTTATTCCTTGTTTGATAGATTTTTTTATATTTAGTTATATATATATATATATATATTATTTTTTTTTTTAGAAGGGGGAGGAATAGGGATGCAAGTTATTATCGGCGCATTCGTGCGAATTGAAAAGAAACGGAAGTATTTTTAATACTTTTACGAGGAATCCAATAATAGATCAAAATAATTTTTCTTAATTTTTGCGATACTTCCCTCGTATTCTTTTTTCACATCTCGTTATTTTGCATTTTCAATGACTATATTCAAAGTTTTATTCTATGTATCGACTTTCTACATTAGGAGAAATCGTCAAGATCGATTATTTTCCGTCGATTCAATCTAACAATTCTATCGTTTTCTTTTGTGCTACAATGACACTTTCTCTTTTTTCCATTTCATTATTTTTAATATCGTGATTATTGTGAGTACTCGAACTATAACAAAATGATTATGTATTCCAAGACGTCTCGTTCTCGAGACGAAGGATATATATATATATATATATATATATATATATATATATATATATATATATATATATTTTCTTTTTATATTCAAATTATAAAGAGAATATACGAGTAAGATTTGTTATGAAACTTTTCTTAAAAAGAAACTGCACTTTTGCAACGGACAAGTTACTAAAGCTTGTTATTTATTCGATCGATATTTTTCTATTTTTTTTTTTTTCTTTTCTTTCTTTCTTACAAACCATTAGAGTTCCTTTCTTTCCCTCTTTCTCTTGAACTTCTTATTGTTCCGTTCTGTTTTTTTTTCTTCTCTTTCCTTTTTTTTTCCTTTTCTCATCTTCTTTCTTTCTCTGACGAGTTTAAATTAACGTTTTCAATTTATTATCTTAACGTCACGAATGATGTTAATTATTTGTATTACAAAATTATATTTACATAGTCATTAGAATTATAAAATTAATTTAATTTTTCTTTTTTTTTTTTTTTTTTTTCGAGAAACGCTTTTCAACGTATTTTCTTAAAACTCGTAAAAATGCGAACATTTATGAAATCTTTTTAAAGGATCATCAATCGTTAGAATAGAATTTCATTGATCGGCTCGATTAATGATAAAAGACGATTGAAAAATTCTAATTTTTAATGGGATTTAATAGCTTATAACGTAATAGTCTAAGTAAGAAGACTATCTCTTTGTATCCATAGAAATTTATTTGCTTCTGTTTGTATCGATCGTAAAAGAGGACAAAACCTCGTCCTTCGTGGTTTACGTCAAAGACATAGGCGTTAGCGACGACCACCGCACAAGCGAAGAAAGATAGTTAGTCATTAATTATCTTAACGTGGTAATATTCGAAGCTGGAAGCTATCGATCTAAAATATCGATTCATTCATTTCACGATAAAATTAATCCATCGTAAGAACATGTTAGAAGCGAGTTAATTTATGGCCATGACTGTCTTGAAATAATAATAATCATAATAATAATAATAATAAAAATAATAATAATAATAATAATAAATAAATAAATAAATAAATAAATAAATAATTAAATAAATAAAAACACATAATTCATAATAATATTCATATCAAATACATTCAAAAATTAAAGAAGAATAAAAAATACAGATATATATATATATATATATATATATATATATATGTATGTATGTCATTAACAGAAAAAAGATCAAGAAACAATAGAAACAAATAAGATCATTACGATCATTCTTCCAATCCTTCAGAATTATATCCAAGTCAAAATCATTAAGCAAGAAACTCAATTTAATAGATCATAGAAATAAAAAAAAGAAGTCAGTAATATTAGAGATCTGCTCGTTGATCAGAAAATTTCTCGATGATATTACCTCGTCCTCTTTCCCTTATGGCAAATAAATAAATAAATAAATAATAGACGAGAGATACAAGTATGACCAAGAGAAAAAAAAATAATAATAACAATAATAATAATAATCATAACAATAATAATAACAATAATAATAAAAAAAAGAACGCTAGGTTTATAAGCGTATAGATCGCTAACGTAAACATACAAAATGATCTCCCTTTCTTATCATCTTCCATTTTATATATATATATATATATATATATATATATATATAAAATTATATATAAATATGTAGATAAAAGAATCGTAGTTGTGTCGGGTATGGTTATGTCATATCGTTGCATTGAAAACGACTGGCTCGATCTTGTTCACACGTTACTGTTTCTCTCTCTCTCTCTCTTTCTCTCTCTATTTTTTTTTCTTTGTTTTTTTATCCGAGTTTATCGATCGGGACGGTAAACGACAAGGAGGAAGACACGGAAGGAAATAGAGGATTAAATTGCTCGGCTTGTCGTTAAGAGTAACGGTGGTAACGGCAGCCAGTTATTCCATAATGGTTCGTAGACGTTTCAAGATAGCATGGGTCGAGACGAATCCTGGAAGGAGAAGGAAATATAAGGAGGAATATAGGCCGATACGCATAAGGAAACCCTCGTAGAGTCGAGTAAACGAGCGTCGTCCTCTATCTTTCGTCGTCATTTTACTTTATCCCTTTCTTTTCTCCCTCCCCCCCTCATCCTTCTTCTCGGTCAATCATCCTCCCTTGACTAACACCACCATCCACTGTACACCATTCACCATCCACCATCCACCATCCACTGTCCACCCTCATGTTTTTTCTTTCTTCTTTTTTTTTTTTTTCTTTTTTACTTTCTTCATCCTCTTCTTTCTTCTTCCGTTGAAACTTCTTCGCGACATCCTGGCGCCAGTCTTTCAGGCGCCCTTCTTCGCCAAAGCACTGCCATTTATTTTCCCTTATTGTTAAAGGGTGTTGTGTCGAGGCTACCGTCATGATAATACCAACAAAGATATTCTTTACAATCAGTAATCTTACTTGATATTTTGTTTCTTTTTTTCTTCTTTCTTTTTTTCTTTTTTTTTTTTTTTCTTCTTATCAAGAAATCATAGATCAGTTTTATGTAAATTGCAATTAAATGAAC